AAACCTTCCCTTCCCAAACCTTCCCTTCCCAAACCTTCCCTTCCCAAACCTTCCCAAACCTTCCCAAACCTTCCCAAACCTTCTCTTTCCTAACCTTCCCAAACCTTCCCAAACCTTCCCTTCCCTTCCCAAACCTTCCCTTCCCTTCCCAAACCTTCCCTCCTCCCTTTCTCTCTCTCTCCCTGTCCCTCTTTAATTCATCTTTTCTTTCTTCCTTTTTCATCCTACCCCTTTATCCAAATCCCACTCTTAGATAGTGTGCTTAGATAGTTAAGGGCATGATTTCCATGCCGTGTGTAGTTCACTTACAAAACTTCGCAAGCTTTTGCGAACGTTCTGACTTTTCCCTCTCTCCACGAGCATTTACGAATTTCGGGTGCTCCCTTTCCCCTTAAGGGTGGGACATCACACGTGGCAGGAGCCTCTTTTCGCGGGAGGATGGAGGGGAGGCCGCCGGGCCGCCAGGGAGCGCTGTCCGGCGCGGCGGGAGCACGCGCGGCCAGTCGGGGGCGGCGGCGGCACGTGGAGCGCGGTCCCGGGACGGTTGGAGCCGAGCCCGGCGCTTCCCGAGGGATCCCAGTGGAGCTGCCGACATGCCCAAGGCGCGGGCCGGGAAGCGCTCGGACCGCCAGGAGGGCCGCGCCGGCGGTGAGTGCGGGCCGGGCCGGGCCGGACCGGCGGGATGCCGGGAGCGGGGAGGCCGAGCACCCGCGGTAACACGGCGGTCTCTGCCCTAGGCATCCTCTTCAATACCGGGGCCGGGCAGCACATCCTGAAGAACCCCCTCGTTGTCAACAGCATCATCGAGAAGGTGGGAGGCGGCGGCGGCTGTCCCGGGAGCCGGGCCTGGCCAGGATCTCCGGGAACGCGCGGTCCTGGCTCCGGCCCTTCCCGGGCTCCGCTGATCCGCGACTATTACCGCTGAACCGCGATTATTGCCATCACGCTACCTCTTTGTGTGTGTGATTTTTTTTTTTATTTTTTTTTTTAACGTGGCTGCTCGCTGGCTTTTCTGAGCCTGGCCAGCATAAGTCAGCGTTGGGACGTTCCTGTTCTCCCTAATTTCCGCTCCTTCTTTTTTAAACGACTCTCAAGCTCTCCTGATACCCAGTTTACGCTTTTTGCTACATAAAAAGCAGTTATCTTTTGTTCTGAAGTCAAATGGTTGCACGGAATCCGTTCTAGGCAAGTACTCGAAATGCTGTTTGTCCTTAGGCTGCTCTGCGCCGCACGGATGTCGTTCTGGAAGTGGGCCCGGGAACCGGCAACCTGACAGTAAAGATGTTGGAGAAAGTAAAAAAAGTAAGTGGGAATTCCCCCCCATGCACGCCATCTTACCACTGACCACATTGTGGCTTAGACTGTGGTCTTTATACACTGGATTCAAATCAGTAGAATCACTCGCTGGATATTTTTTTTAACATTTGCATAATCCCAATGAGGTTTTAGTTGTCTGTGTAAATCTTTTGTTGTTTTATCAAACGACATTGCTGTTATCCATTTATGCCATAAAGTTTGCACGTATTCGGAGAGGGAGGAAGGTGCATAAGCTAATAGGGAATTATCAAGAATTATTTAAACCTACGGCAATAGATACGGGGCTGGGGGTTTTTATGATTAAAATTTTAATCCCAATTAGGAGATGTTGCATAAAGTTGCAAATATATGCTTTTTTCAGGTTATTGCATGTGAAATTGACCCTAGACTTGTTGGTGAACTTCAGAAGAGAGTCCAGGGCACGTAAGTATCAACTGTGGAAATAGTGAGCACTTGAAGCAGTGGAGTTGCTTTGACAAAACCTTGGCAACGTGCTTCTCTGAGGATAATCACAATGTATTTTTTCCCACAGGTGTCTGGCAAACAAGCTTGAAATCAAGGTTGGAGATATCTTGAAAACAGACTTACCATTCTTTAATGCGTGTGTGGCTAACTTGCCTTACCAGGTATGGGCTAAACAATATGGTAGAACTTTTTTTCTTTTTAAATGATTATTTCCCAGAAATTATACTAACTCTATTACTCTTTTCCTCAGATTTCTTCACCTTTTGTTTTCAAGTTATTGCTTCATAGACCTTTTTTCAGGTATGTGGAAGAGTGGAGCTCTGTATTGCCTCTTAGGAAAAAAAATAGTTTTAAAAATATTTTCAGATCAAATTTTTTTTTGGTTCTTAAAATAGCAGTTTGATGGATCAGAGCTGCACCAAAATTCTTCTGTAATATAAACGTGATAGTGCCTGGAAATTAGTTTATGTCGATATATTAAGATAAGGAGGAGATTTAGTCTTGGCGTCTAGTCCAGCTTGATGAAAACAGGTTACACCTCTTTAATATTATACCTAGTTATCATTCCAGGGATAAGTAGGGCATCGTAGCATTTCAAATGCCTTCCTACCTAAAAAAGGTAGTGTGGAAAGGGTTGGATCAAATCCAAGTTACTGCCTGTTGTCTGGTCTAAAAGTCTAATTGCCCAGGTATTTCTGTGTGTTATTCAGTATGTCTGCAGTTCTTGATTTCAGTCACTGAAGCACTAATGTTGGTGACATTACTGGTCAATTTTCGGAGAGTTTGAATAACCAAGGAGTTATTCAAAATGATTTGTTACAGGCAAGCAACTCTGAGACCAGCCTATGTCTTTGATCCTGATCCATTTAGCACTGTTAATATTAAATTCTCTTACATCTTTGAGGAGACTTAGATGGCTTCACCAAGTTTTCTGATGACTTGGGGTTTTTTAGAGAACTTTGACAAATTAGAACAGAGTTTGTTTATGATAAACTTTTACTATTTGTAAGTGCTGAGGCAAACTGTGTTTTCCAAGTGTGTTAGTTGTCTTTTGACATAAAAATTAATTATTTAGAATTAATTTTCTGATACCTGTTATTCTCAGGTGTGCAATACTTATGTTTCAAAGGGAATTTGCACTTCGTTTGGTTGCAAAACCAGGAACTAAACTGTACTGCAGACTCTCCATTAACACTCAGTTATTAGCTCGAGTGGACCACCTGATGAAGGTATGTCATTCTGCATTAGGTAACAGAGCTGTCAAAGACAGAAGAAGAGTGTTTCAAGGGATGTGAGGATTTGCTGCTTATTCACACAGCTGCCTCACTGCTCTTGACCAACAGGTTGGAAAGAACAACTTCAGGCCTCCTCCCAAAGTTGAATCCAGTGTTGTAAGAATAGAGCCAAAGAACCCACCACCACCTATCAACTTCCAGGTGACCATTGTATACTCAACATAACATACTAGAGATAATGCTACTCAGTTCTATGTGCTGATTTTACTATGAAGTACCAGCTGTTTGCTGGAGTTTCTAAAATACATAGTCTATTGTTTAGGCTTGTGTTAGGACATTAACAGAATGTGCAACCATCAATTTGGATACAGCTTTGTGTACAGTAATTCTGGTAAAATCAAGATCCGTTGGAGTACTGCGGATAATGTCCCTTTCATCATAGATAATATCTCCCAGAGACCCTTACAGCTGATGACTTTGTAGGTTTTGGTCAAAGGAGTATCTATGAGAAGTCTTATGTTCAGATGAGTGTGTGTAATCTCAGAAGACAGATGTTACGGGATAGCATTCTTAATTTTTAAAACGCTTAAAGGCCACTTCAGCCTTGCCCAAGGTTAGCCAGATTTTCTTCAAATATCTGCTTTCTCAGCACACAGGATCTGACTAATAGTGCCTAGGCACAAAAAAGTACAGTTCAGAGGTTTTTGTGGGTGAAGTATTTTCTCCTCCATTTGTATTGCTTTGTCCAAGACAGGAATGGTTTTGTATTGCTTAAAAATTCATTTTCATGAAGGATTTTCAGTATGGTTTTGAAGTTGTCAGTAGTGACTATTCTTGTTGGTAGTAGCTAAATGTTCTTTTCTGTAAGTTCTGAAATTTTTAATTTCAGGAGTGGGATGGTCTGGTAAGGATAGCCTTTGTTAGGAAAAACAAGACACTTTCTGCAGCTTTTAAGTAAGTAAATTCTGCCAAATCTTTTCAAAATTTGAGAGCCCATCCAGTTAACCATTTCTTTTAGAGGAAAACTAGGCAGCTGTTTAAAAAGAACAGCTCTGTGTAGTTGTTACAATTTTTTATAGTAAAAAATTACACATTTATATAAAAAATTTAGTTATAGTTTAGTTTCCGTTCTAAACTTGTATTTCTTTTAGGTCAAGTGCTGTAGAGCAGTTGCTGGATCATAATTACCGAATTCATTGTTCCTTACATAATACAGTAAGTTCCTTTTTAATATATTCTGTTTCTGTGTACTGTGACCTACATACTGTCTTTTAGAAGAGTAAAAAATTAATATTGAAAAGCGTAACGTGTTAAAAGTTTTTCCAAGAGAGTTTGAGGGAGGCAGGAACTTGCCTCTTTTCTTAGTGAAAAATCTAAAAGGGTCACTAATTTATAGTGAAAAAGCTTAAAATCGAGTATGCCATTAAAATATTTTCTGTATATGTCTCAAGGTCTTTTACTAATCTAATAAAACTTTTTGTGTTTTGCAATACTGTTGTGATTCATTTATAGTGAATGAGCTGGGATATAAAAATTCAGATACAATAGAATAATACAATAATTCATACAAGAAAAAGTACAACTTTTTATCACTTGAAATAAGAACTATTCTAAGAGCAGGAAAACATAGGTAATTTAAATGAACCTTTTTTGTGCTATGAGTAGAATATAATTTTTATCCTATTTTCCATTGACAGGAAATACCCGAAAATTTCAAAATTGCTGAGAAAATACAGACAGTCCTAAAAGATACAGGTTACTCTGAAAAACGAGCCCGTTCAATGGATATAGATGATTTCATTCGGTATCCTTTTTTTTTCTCTTTATACCTTCCTTTTAAGCTGCTTTAAATTCTATCTGCACCTGTACCTGTGTAGCTCAAATTAGTGTTGAGTTGCACAGGAACAGTAGTTTCCCTCTCAGTACCAGACGGTCCTGGCTTCCAGTCCTGAATATGAACACTTAAACCCTATATATATTTTAAATGCCGGTTACAACATTGAGAAGCAGTTAGCTGAAGAACCTGATTTCTGGTGTTTGTGTACTAGACCCTTCTATAGCTCCTTCAAAAATGGCTTTAGTAATGTAACTGTTATTAGAATTTTCCTGGAGTCTTACACAGCCTTTTTTTGCCTTGAGGATTAGGCCATAGTCTATAGCATAATTTGAAATATGAATAATTAACTGCTATATGCTGCTTTTACTTCTGGACAGTTAATTTAAGTGGCACCATGACTCCTCTCCTAATTAGAGATAAAAGTTCATAGCTGTTTCTCAGTGTAATAATTAAGACCGCTACTGCTTTTAAAGAATCATAGTAAACCTGGTATGATCTAACATAACTGTAGTTTGTAGCAATTTTTTATTCCAGTTGACCAGTGATGGCTGCTTTCATACTGTTTTCTTTGTCAGCCAGCACATCTTAAAAATGCCTTAAGCTGAAGTATAAATATGTAGCATTGTAACATAAGTGTTTCACTCTTTCAGATTGCTGCATGGCTTCAATTCAGAAGGCATCCATTTCTCATAGATCCTACTAGAAGAATGACAGGTGTTGCTTTTTGTCACCAAAGTCTTACCTAAGCCAGAGTGACTGCAATGGGACAAGCTCTTACGCTTGGACTCTTATTAAAATGTTAGATGCGATTTTATCACAGACAGCAGGCAAGCTGTGCTGCCTGTATTTTAAAAGCAGTGCATTCTTTCACAACTGAAGCAAGGTGCTGGACTTCCTCATGACAAGTGCATTTCTAAATATACCCAAAACTGGCTTGAGGCTGCCACAATTGAAATCTATGTTCTCTGATTGTGGACTTCATCTCAGTATATTCTTGCATAATACTCGACAGTACAACCCTGGTCTGGACAACAAAAGTGGAGTTGTGATCATTCCGTTTGTTTGTTTGTTTGTTTGTTTGTTTGTTTGTTTTAACATGTATTTAAACTCTTTTGATTTGAAATGCCTGTCTCTTCCAGTTGTCCTCTGGTAACTACCCATATTCCAAGTCTGTTAGTAATTTGCCTCTCTTTGAGAAATCCCAGTAACTGTTTCTCAGAAACAAGAGCATTTATCTTGTGGACTTGGTATCACTTAAACATTATTGAGGTACCTGAAACCACCAGTGTAATCACCTTTACCCTCTCATCCCCCACTGTAATAACTAGAAGAAAACTACAGAAAGGCCACATCTCATAAGCACAGAGGAAGGGGTTTTTTGGCCAAGTATAAATTCAAGTAGTTATTTTTGTAAGGTAACTATTTCACCCTTCAAGGCAAGGAGGAGTTTTAGCACAGATGAGAGCTTTCAGTGAGACTGAAATGCATCCCTGCGTCCTCACAGAAAGGTACTGAAGTGTCTTTAATATAGTTTGGGTTATATATATATATGTGAGTTGTTAAGGACAAGGCAGAGCTTTTCCAAGGAAGTTTGCATAAACTCTGCAGCACAGCTGTCAAAAACATCAACTATTAACTGTAGCAGGATGCAGGGGTGAAAGCATCACCCTGTGTATTAAATACCATGTTATTTTTTTCAGGTATAGTGTAGTATATCTTTCCATAAGACAACACTTAAATGGAAAAGAGGCAAATTAGCAAAACCTGTAAGATAAACTTCATTTATACACATCACTGAATCATTAGGGATAGAAAAGATCTCTTGAGTCCAACTAGTTCCACCATTGACATCCCCTCTCAGTTCTTTAGAAGTCACTGATTCAGAAATAGACTTGAATTTGCAGGCATCCTGAGCTGTTGACTTTAAAGACTGAGTTGCTCATTTATTTCACAGTTTAATAATTCAGTAATTCTCATGCTGCTTCACTGAATGCAGAACCAAATTGTGAGTCGGGTAAGTAGCCACAAGGAATATGCTCAGACTAATACAGAGGGAACAAATGCTGGAGGCTTGTGTCACACTTCATAAATGCTTTCATTTTACAGGACAGGAATTGAGGATAAGCTTGCTTAAGTCCTTTTAAAAGTAATTCCAGTGCATCGCGGCTATGGGCTACAGGAAGTCAGGTGCCCAGCCAGCCGTATCAGGTTATCTCAATTCTCAATGCTTCAGTATCTGTATAGATCACACATAAGGCTCTGGCACAAAGACTGGCTATAGACACAGTTTCCACTTGCATGTGCTGCCTGAAAGGACACATGTAATTATGCAGCTTAGTAAAAAGCTGCTGAAAGTGAATTCTGTCCTTCCTGTCCCCTTTGGTACCAGCAGGAAGCCACAGCCTGGTTGTGGCTCCATGGACGAATAGTATGGAAGCCACTGTTACTCATGTAGGATGTCTCAATCTTCAGAGGCTTTCTAGAATTCTGTAGGAGCAGTTTCAAAGGAACCCTCTGGTATTATACAATAACCTACCTGCTAACAAAAGCTACTGCCTGCCTTTTCGTGGTTTCTTTTCTTTTAACTGTGATGGATGACATTCTTAAATGTTGAGAAAGGTGTGATGCTTCTTTTAAGACCTGATGCAAAACTAAAGTTAGGACAGTGCTCTGGGGAACTTCTTCCTATATGACGAACCTGTGAAGAAGAGTTCGCTGCAGAAGTAAATACTCACTCTGAATTCAGAGTAAGTATTCTTTTCAAAAATGTAACCAATGTGCTGACAAATTTTAACCCTTCTGAAACAATAACAAAAATTCTCAGATGTAATTCATTTAATAGCTTAATTTATTAAACACGTTATGTAAAATCTACATTGTTTCAGTTTTAATGTTTACACACAGGAGAACTTTTTAATTTTAACCATGATGCAACAAGAGCTTCCCCATAGCCTACCCTTCTATGGGAGATACAAACATTAAACACTACAAGAAATTCTGGCTCATTTAACTCTCTTTTCATTGCCTTCCCTTTATTTCCCCCCACGCCTGGCACAAACAAACAGGCTTGTATTCCAAAAGTAATTCTTAAACAGTTCCAAGGGAAAGTCTGCTGATAGGAACTCTTGGAAACAGGGAGAACTCCTAGAGAGATCTACAGTTCTTCATTTGACAAGAAGTTCTTACATGAAAGGTCAATGTTTTTTGGATACTGACTTGCAAAAATAACTGGAGTGCCACCATCTAAAAAGTGCTGATATACATGGCGCCATTTGTGAGAATTCAGGTACTTGCAGGATTTCTATTAGCGCTAGGTAGAGGTATTGTGCAAAATCATCAAATGATGCAATTTCACCCCACTTTTCAGCTGCTGGCACTGTACAAAGGGAAAAATAGGTATTAGCTACTTCTTAAAGCAACAGAACTACTCAAACTACCTGCAGACTACGGTTAATGTACATGTAAGTTTGTCATGCATCAAAAGCCAAGTTTTTAAAACAGTATGTGAAAGGCCAGTATGGATGTATTTATCCCCAAAGTTTGACAGTTAAACTATCCATACACAGCATTATCACCACATACCATATATCTGCATTATCCTAAGGTACAACTCTCCTTAGTACTTAAACATTAGCCTTTATTACACATCAACTAATTTATATTTTTGTGGGGTTTTGTTGGTTTGTTGGTTTTTTTGTTTGTTTTTTTTTATTATTACAGATAAAATGTTAGAATTATATAACCATTCTTTATGGTATTCAAATAAATCAAGATTCCAGATTTGTACAAGGAAAATGGAATGTCCAGCTGTTTGTCCACTCCTAACAGCTTGCAGTTCCTGTTCAAATGATATGGCACATCCTGTGAAATGAAACTAGCCACCAAAAAATAAGTATTAAAACATCAAAAATGTACACACACTGAAGTAATTTATATTGACGAATAAGGAATGTAGTTTTTTAAGGCTGTGCTTCAGAAAGGATGTCTAGGGTTAAGTAGCCTTCATCAAGGCACAGAATGGGAAGAGGTAAGCACAGCTGTCTGTAGAAGAGAAGTTATATAAAACCACTAGTGTGTGCATGCATGCCACAATTTTAGAACTGCACAGCTAGACTTTGTAATAAGACAACATGGTCAGAAGGAAGTGCTGTGACTTTAATGGCCACAGTTTTACTTCATTATGAAAAACATGGCAAGTATCTCCAAACAAATTTCACTATTTGAATAAATGAAATATTAAAAACAAAGTGCTTCACAGATCTGAACCCTGCATGGATGTGCTGTCTGGTCTAGAAGCATTTTGTAGACATCATAGGAGCATTTCACATAAAACTGAAAATGTCATTCAGGTGAATAAGAAACAGGACATTTCCACAGACATTTCTAACGCTTTTACACTTTCAAGTAGTTGAGTTCCCCTGGCCACTGGGTTTTGTAACAAATGTGTGCTACAGCAGTACAGGTTCATGGATTCCTCTAGCAGCAAAGGCCCATTTCAAAGGGCACGTGGTCTTTTCGGGTTGATCTGTTTACTGGCCTGTTCCTCCTCTTGAAGAGCTGCCCGGAACGATTTCACTTTGTCTTTAATGAAAACAGAAGAGAATGAATACTGATGTGCCTGTGCTGAACAGATCTGGAAACTAAACCCTGATCCTCTACATCCCAGGCCTCGTGCACAACAAAGAACATTCCTTCACAAAAATAGCTGATGCTACAAATTACAAACTTAAATTCAATACTCACCATACAAACAAGTTGCTTAGCAACTTAGTCCCTTCTTGGATGCTACCCCTGTCTTTAGGCAGGGTAGGTTTGTAAACTGCACAACTGCATGCCCAGAATGCACACTTACATCCTCCTTCTATCTTAGAGAATGTAGGGAGATACTACATGTTTACTTTTCCTTCCCAGCACCTTCCAAACCAACCTTGGAGGCATACAAAATCTTATTCAGCGTACAATCAGCCTCTTCTGTACATTTAATTTCTAGTCCCCCTGTTTTCCTATGAATGTGAAAAGCATTTGTGAATAAATTTTGGAACTTATTCAACTGTAAACAGTTAAATGCATCATTCATTTGTTTCATCATAACTAATAAGAATGGGAGAAACCTGAGAAAAAAGTGTGGCATCCTCATACTTCTATTCCTGTTCCCTTCCATTCCCCAGTAATAAGCCCAAGAGTGGGAAGAAGGAAACCAAAAGGACAACATAAAGATGTCAGTCCCACAGTGACAGAAGTAAAAGCCGAACAAATCAGTGATCATTATGAGCCATGAGCAGAACATAGAAGATGCCAAGACAGAATTTTTGACTTAACAGGTGTTCCCTCCTGTAAAACTACACATACATCATGCTTCCTGTAAAGATGCAAGGATCTCTTAGATAGCATTTTACCTCCAGTACCTTGTTTCAAAAACAATATCTAGTAAGTTTTTGAAAAACAGGAAGTCACCTAAACTGTTTTTTCACTGCTGGTGTCTCAAACTGTCTTCTGAAATGGAAGCCATCATCCATAAAAAGAAAAGGAACCCCCAATCCCTAGCTAAAGCATAACTGGCATGCTTACGAGGCAAACAGGTCACATCTGATTCGCTTGATGCACTCTTCTAATTTACAGCAGATAGACTGAATAAAAAGTAAGATTTTAACTTACAGTTTTCTACCACATCAAAAAACCCCTCCCCTCAGCCCCAAACCCCACCCTTAAGCTTTTACCAGTATAGCATTTCTCCTAGAGTCCAAATAGTTAACAAAAAATGGAAACGAAAAACTCATCTCCATGAGGTACCAAGATGACAAGCTTATTTTAGAAGATAAGTGGAAGAGTAAATTTTGGGCACCAAGTAAAGTAGTAAATCTGCAATTTGTCTTTCAGCATAGATAAGCTGACAAAATTCTAACAGAAAGGCTGTTGAAAAAAAAAGGTATACTACCAACCAAGATACTCAAGAGCTTGATGCCACTCATAAGCACAGTCTTAAAAAAATGACAGCAGGCTCCCTGCTACACTACAGAATGCAACAGAGCCGGAACTGGGAGTTCCTACTACTTTTTCCTCATTGCATTGCTTTCTGGGTTTTTTCATACAGTTGGTCTGGATTTTCTTACCTTCCTTCAGTGTTTTGAAAAAAAAGGAAAAAAAAAAATTGCAGGATTGAGTTTATACTTCCTGGAGGTAAAGCATAGAATCTTCCTTTATGTTAGGATGATCTGAGCACAGATGTGAACCTGTTCTCAGGCA